TCATACATTTTTTTAATTTTTGACCGTCGGATGGGATAAATTGAAGAAGATTAATGGACATAAATTATCAAGAAGTGTGCAAAAAGTAAAATGTGATGTGTGGATAGCACACCCCTTTGCCTAACCAAAAAGGCTCAATGATTTTCGCCACCACTGGGTTGGAACTGCATGTAAGATTGTAACCCAAATGAAACTGGGCTAAGAGTGTAAGGCTAACAAAAATGGGTCAAGGATCTTGGATCAGCTAAGGTTTTTGTGCCTAGTGAGCTAGATGGGGCCCATATGCAACATCATCTGTGAACATAAAAGTACCTGACAATATATTATTTGTTTGAGATGTGGCAGTAGTATACCGAGAGTCACGACAAAGAAGTCGCTCTCAATTTCTCATGCCATGCGCGTAGACAAGTCCAAAAACAAAAATCATAGTCAGGGAAAATGATGTGATGGGATGCGTGACGCATGGTGCATGCATGCTGTGAGTGTGTCCTTTCTTCAGAAGGCTCCTCCCCCACCAATTTATCTACTCAAACTCAATTATTTAGGTCTACATGTTTGGAGGAAATTCAAAAAACATTTCCATTTTTTTCTTTCCCACTATATAAGTTTTCTACCTTTAAATTTTATATGCTAGGGCAACCTAGCCACTTTTCAAATCCCAATTGATACGTTATCTATTTTTACGAATTTGGACACAATTAAACATGTTTAGTAAGTATCGTAATTGTTAAGTATGTGTTCTCTCAGTTGGTAACCAAAAGAAGAAATCATAGTCGGTCAATGCAAGACTCTTCCTCAATTTTTTTTTTTAAATTTTATGTTCACAATCAAAAGATCATTAGATTTGCATGTAGTACAATACATTAGAACAACTCCACCTTTGGTGGTTGCTTGGAGGACAGGCAAAGGGAAAGGGCCCGAGGGCCGGTGGATAGGCCTCCAACGTTGGGCAGCCCGAGTAAAGGTGGGAGCCCGAGGGCCAGGCCCATGGAGAATTGACAGCCCTGCAGCCCGAGGTGTGTGTGACGTCAGCCTGACGCTAGGCCTGGCGTCGGTGCTTTATTTTTTATTTTTTGTGTCAGGCGCATGCCCCTCACTCGCGAGTGAGGGCCCGTCAGCCGACAAGTTTACAGGGCACATGGCCCGCACGCCAGGAAATGCAGGTGACCGTTGGGAAGCCACGTGGCTTCCCACGGTCCGTTCAATCTCAACGGCTCTTTAATATGTGCCGTCCAATTTGAAACAATAATAAATAAATAAATAATTGATTTAATATCAACCGTTCAATCTGAGATCAATGATTGATATTAATCTGCTTTATAAATTAAAAAAATAGTTTTAAAATTAAGAAAAGTTACCGTTGTGACACGTGACACAATCTGGAGTGTTGAAATTTAAATTTTTTTAAATCCAATGGCAGAGATTAATTATTTGAATAAAAAAAATTAAAAAATTGTAAAAAATCCAAAAAAAAATATCTAAAAATTAAAAAAAAAATGTTTCTACTTTTCTATAAATACATTCTCATTATCATCAACCTTACACCACAATTTCATATGTTCTCAACTACTTTCAATCACATTCATATCCTTCTCCCAAAGTTTCAATCCAATTTTTTTCAACAAAATGACTACTGATGCAGGTACGAATTGGACGTCTCTTGAAGATATTGCATTGTGTACTAGCTGGGTTAAAGTTACTCATAGTTCGCGTACGGGTAATGAGATGCAGTTGCGAGAAATGTGGAGTCTTATTCATACCAATTATCTTGAGAAAATGGGTGGGAGTAGAACCAAAGAATCGATGTCTAGTCGTTGGAAATTACTTAGTCAATCGTTTACTATTTGGAGAGACGCCTTAGCACAAGCTAGTAGTAATCTTCGAAGTGGGGAAAATTACATGGACAGGTAACAATATATTATTTATTTGTTTGTACTATACCCAAATTTACATTATAATTATTTGTTTGTATTATTTATTTGTTACATACTTTAATTATAATTATTTGTTTGTATTATTTATTTATTACCTACTTTAATTATAATTATTTGTTTGTATTATTTATTTGTTACCTACCTTAATTATAATTATTTGTTTGTATTATTTATTTGTTACCTAGTTTGATTATAATTATTTCTTCTCCCCCATTGTGTAGCTAATTCAAGCACAAGCTTGGTATGGTGCCAAAACCAAAACCAAAAATAAATCATTCAACCGGTGGGAATGTTGGAATATTGTCAAAGATTGTCCTAAATTCAGAGTTGTGCATGTCGGTCCAGAAGTTATCATGAACAATACCCCGCTATACTCTACACCTGATAATGGCTCGCATGAAGATGATGCAGAAGAAGTGCCCGAAACGCCCATCCCTGAACAAGCGTCGAGTTCGACTCGTTATCCAATTAGGCCTCAAGGTAAGAAGGCTTCAAAGAGAAAAGGAAGTTCTTCCAAGCATGATTATGCAAAGTACATGGAAGAACTTACTCACCATAGTGAATTGACTTTGGCGCGGGAAATGGCGAAATTTGAGGTTGATAAGGCTAGAGAGGAGGCAAAAGCTGCAGCTGTTGAGAGAGAATTTCAAGCTAATCAGATAGAAAGATAGCTACTTAGGCAAGAAAAGGAACTGGTTAGAGAAGAAAGAATGACTCAACGAGATCGTGAGATTATGAACACGCCTTTAGAAGGGAAGTCTCCAAATTCTAAATATTTTTGGAAGTCGGAGAAAGAGGATGTGGTGCGTAGGAGGCGTGCAAGAGAAGCGAGAGCAAGAGGAGATGGTCCTAGCACGACAAGAGAAGATCATCCTAGCACCACAAATTGGTTAAGTGATGATTATTAGAGTACTTTTTGTAATCCTAGCACCACAAATTGGTTATCCGAAATTACAAATAAATTTATTTAGTATTATTTTGTAAATAATAATAATAATAATAATAATATTTTATTGCCTATTGTCAGGGTTATTCAAGTGCAACGGTGCAGATGCAAAAGGCAAATACTATTCATTATGGCAGTTACTGTTCACATGGTGGATTGAATAGTGGATTGCTTGGGGGGAGGGCTCCAAGGGTGGAGTTGCTCTTAATGATGAACATGTTATACTAATTGATCCGAATCCAAGGAACTAGATTTGAAACCCATCCATACATTATGTTGCACAAGAACCTGCTCATGGGTTGGATCGTACAAATGGGGACCTTTTGCTATTTATAAACGACAACGTATATTCGAGGACTGTGTGGTCCAAGCAGATATAGAAAGATCGACAGAAACTGGCTAACATCCATTGCTGCAAAAACCAGTTGGCTAACACCATAAAATGTAGTGTGAAAAGAAAAGAAAGGGAAGAGGGGGCCAACAACTATGAGCGAGACTCGAAGGACACGAAATAGTAGACAATATACAGTACCATATGTGTCAAAACATGATAGGGCACTCTTGCTACATCATTGGACCATATAGGGTTTCTCTTTCACCTTCACTTTCCAATAATACAATGTAAATGAAGGAATCGTCGCACTCTGTATGAAAAAGACTATATATACAGTTAAACCTAACCCTATAATATATATATACACACACAAACACACATATATGACTGGCTTGTAGGGTTTTAGGCTTCTAACAAAATCACAGATGTACAAATCAAATTCATCTGTACAACCATTGGGTTGTCGATTAGGTTGATCCAAGTCCAACATGTGTAGTTACCTTTTGCTCCATGATTGGATTAGACATAAACTCTATTCTATATAAAAAGAATTTAACTTCGCTGCTTAAAGAATCAGCAGCCCCTCTTGCTGAGAGCCTATCACGGCAAGACACAAGTTCAAATTGTGATTAAAAAATCACAACTTGAACACATATTCAGCCGTGATTGGATCTCAGTAGGAAGGGTTGCTGATTCTTCAGCAACCAAGTCTTGTTCATATAAAAATTAGATGGCGCAATAGTCACACATGCATGCATTTCGGTGTGCTCCAGTCCACCTCTAATTACAAAATATTCTTACCAAATAACCTAGCTCTAGTTCACCCCTAGCCTGCTCTGTCTCTCACGAGAAATTTTTAATTGTGACGGAAATACAAGTGGTACATTATGTATTTTAATACAAGTGGTGAGAAATTTTATTTTTTAAGTTATTAACTTTTTAGCACATATATCCCATCATTTGTATAATGACATGTGGTGTACCATCTCGTGTACCAGTCACACTGAAAAATCTCTCGTCTCTAATCTAGATGGCTCAATCGACCCCAAATTTAGTTACCTAATTCGTGCCCGTAGCTACCTTATATAATTAGTGATTAGGGGATCGTTTGGAATGAGAAGAAGCATATAAGAGCATATCTAACTCATAGGTTTAAGCTTAGGGTAGAAGAAGATCGAGCCCTAAGTTGCAAAGAAAAACTTTCTTATGCACTCAACCAAGAACCAACCTAAGCTAGTTGGAGCCCAAGGCTAGTTGTGAGGCCAAATTAGCCCTAGGTCTTGCCCAAAACTTCTTAAGAGGGCAGTTTAGGACAATACTAGTAGCCAATGAAAACGAGTCACCTAACACTTTTTAGCCTCTAGCCTCTCTCACCGTTAGAACAAGGAAATTTGAAATGATGGATTTCATGAATGATGTCAGTTTGGGAGGCTGGATTTTATCTTTAGCCCATGACCCTTGCCCTTACCATTAGACATGCTCTATAAGTGGTGCTTCTCCATAAAATTACCCAAAGTGATTTTCCAAATGAAATTATGGCGAAACACCTCTAAAAGAGCATTAAGGGTGAAAATTGAGGTTAGGTTGGGAGAAAAAAGTTAATTAGTGGTCATGAGCTTGCACTGTGGTTGTGTGCTGTTGTAGTGTTAACATCAGATATGTAGATGATGTGTTGTTGGAGTAAATAAAATTTGGCTTTAATCTAGGCTTTGGAGCTACCATTCACTATTACACTTGTGCTCACAAGGGAACAAAATGGAACTTGTGGTCCTCACACACACATACTTCTCTTCCTTTTTCCACACCTTTGCTGTATGATCAATGTTTTCATTTTAGTCTACTTCTCCTTTGACTATTCCATCACTTCTCCTCTTATTTCTTTCCTCCTCTTTTCGTCTGAAAAATATGGATTCAGGCAGAGCTCATGGAAAGAGGACCATGTCGAAATACGAGGTGGAGGAGGAGGAGGAAGAGGAGGAGGAGGAAGAGGAAGAGGAGGAGGAGGAGGAAGAAGAAAGTAGGAGTAGGAGACCATCAATAGTGTATGGTGAGGATGAGGGGAGAGCAAGAGTGACGATGGTGAATAGTACTGCTGCTACTCCTACAGGGAGAAGATCTGGTGCAGGAGGGTCTACGGCAGGGCCATGTTGTCAGGTAGATAATTGCACTGCTGACTTGAGTGATTTAAAGCAATACTACCGCCGCCACAAGGTCTGTGATGTTCATGCCAAGGCTCCGTCGATAGTCGTGGGTGGATTCCGGCAGCGTTTTTGCCAGCAATGTAGCAGGTAACAATTTTAGAACCATCTTTTTCAACTACCATGGTTTTGTGAATTTCACTTCTTGCTATATGTTTTATCTTACATTGGTTAATGTCATCAAATTTTGCGTTTTAATTAGGTATTATTATCGGTAGTCTAAAAATGTCATCGTGCACTCTGTATATAAAAAATTTCTTATGTTTTTGAAAATTAGAGTACAAAAGGACCTTTTCGGATTTGCCAATAACAACTGTATTTCTTAAACATTTAGACAACCTTCAAATTCTTTTTCTCTCTTAAATTTCATCTATATGAGTTCTTCTCTCATGTGGATGCTTATTTATCAAGCCAAAAAATTAAAAAAAACTACCCTACAGAAAGCTCTTTTGCAGTGAAATGTAGGGTTTCATGATAAGTCTTCCGTTTTTCCAAACCCTAAAAGTCTTTTCAGAACAAAGGGTTCCCAAATAGCTTATAATTTGGTTAACCAAAAAGGTAAGAGTTGATGTGTAGTAGGTCACAGAATCAGTATGAATTAAACTTGTCAAATGGCGTTGAGGAGGGGGAACAGCAACAACCCCACAACTTCAATTTCATGCCATTTCTTATATATGGAGATAATCTAAAAGACTTTCTTAACTGTTGCCTAATTACTATTCATTTTGACATATAATTTCTGTTAATTTCATGAACCATTAAATTTATATATAGAACTGCATAACTTATATATATACACACATACATATTTTTCTGTAGTGCGTTTAACTGTAATTTTTTTAAAGCGAATATTTCATCGATATTATTGATATTGTTGATAGTTTACCTTTATAATTTATTTACGGACGATAAGATTGTCGATATGTCACTGATAAACTTCAATGCAATTTTAAAAAGGTGCATTAATTGCACCGTAAAAAGTACACTCATGACTCGAATAATGAATGAATGGTGGTGCATCGACAGGTTTCATAGCCTATCAGAGTTTGATGACAGTAAAAGGAGTTGTCGCAGGCGATTAGCTGGACACAATGAGCGGCGTCGGAAAACTTCATCGGAATACCATGGACATGGAGGCACGTCTAATTAAGTAATTAGATATATATAATCTTTTCACGTGGATGCCTGTTTCCACTAGCATATGATATGCTCTCTCTCTTCTGTCAACCCTCAGCCTTGATCATGCACCAGTGAACTCTCTCTCTCTCTCTCTCTCTCTCTCTCTCTCTCTCTCTCTCTCTCTCTCTCTCTCTTAGTTGTATGTGTTTGAGGAAGAATTGCTTTGCATTGATCTGTAACCAAACAAATATGCATAGCATGCTTAATGTTTGTTGTTCATTGCTTGGCGGTAATTTGAAACAAACCTACATTGTTTGATCTGTTCAGTTGCTGATGATGATTCTTGTTTTCTTCACATGCTTTTTAATATATCAGTATTTCAACTGTTCAACATGCATTATCATGATTTCTTTTTCCAAGCTCTCACTCTTAAGCTAGCGTTCATTTATATGTTATGGATGATGTTAAAGTAAAATGAACTATCACACACTGTTAAGTAATGTTACCAATTTAGTTAAATTATAACGTGTATATTATTTGTTGATGCTAGTATAGCCACAAATATGAACCCGTCATTCACTCATAATAGAACGCAAACCTGTAAATTTTGGGTGTGATGGGTCGGGAGGGTTATCGAATTTACTATTTGACATAGCAATGTTCGGACCTTCTTTCGCTCAATCCTTCAAAAAATTGTAAAAGCAAACACAGAAAAATAGCAACCAAAACAGAGGCAGACGAATTGTAGTACCAGAAAATGGATTCATTAAGGGTTCAGCAGCAATCTCTTGGATGCTTTGTTTCTATTTCATTTCAGTTGACAGAAACTACAATCAAATATGTGAAATCCGTCGATACAAACCTTTCCGCAATCAGTACAATTGGAAAGGATCCAACAAAACAATCTTACAACAATCACCAAACATTTTCTTGTAGAAAAATGTTAAGCACTCCTTAATTCAAGAAAAAGTGTACAGTACATCCTAGGAGTTCTTCCGGGTGAAAGAATTTTCTCTGGCTAAATGTGCTTCAGGAATTGCCAAATAGGTTAGACACATTTGGTTATAGTAGAGAAGAGAATCCTTAGTCGCGCTTGATGCCTAATAGTTTTATGGCCACCTCCCAGGTGACGATTGCGGCTGCATTAGCAGGAAAAGCCCGAACAATAGTAGGACCCAAGCCAATATAGCATCCTTTCAATCCAGCACTTCTGTAAATCTACAGAGGAGAAAAGAAAAGGCTCGTTGGCATTTAGATATTTGGGGTATGGGTGGGGGGAAAGGGAAAGAGGAGTGTTCTTACCGAGCTCAGGATATGAAATGGATTTCTTGAAGAATTCTTATCTTGAGTCGTCTGAATTATGGTTTTTGCCACATCCAAGGGTAGAACAGCCAACCAAAACTGGAAGTAGGGAATGAAGAAAATGAGAATTTAAAATAGTGGAATTAAATGTGAACATGAGTACTAGAGAAGGACAAATTGTGAAGATACATACAGCTATACCACCAAGGCCTCCACTAGCAATCCCAACTCCAACGTCAATCAAGTTTCTGTGGTCGGGTGAAGCAGACCTCAGTTGCAAATGCATGTAATAGCGGACATACTCATAAACACTGAAAAAGACTGAATTCCCAATACCTTCTCTTAGCAATGTTGTATAACCTCCTCGAAAAATTCCTCTGACCTAAAAAGCATTCCATCAGCTACAAAGATCATCAAAAAATTATGCTGGCCAGAAAGCACAGTATTTTCTCACCCCATCATTTTTCACAGTTGTAAGGGCACAATCAAGAGGACTGCCATATCTTCTGGACATTGGAACCACAGAGTCTGTGCCTTGAATTTGCATCCTACACTGGAAAAGCTGAGTGTAATAAGCATACTGCAAAAAGCAACTGTACAATATGAAAACCCTCCAATTCCGGTTACCTTCACAAGCTCCGACGGGCATAATATAAAACTGATGACTGCTCCACTATAAGCTGCAGACGGAATTATGACTTGGGGCTGTGGCCCTACACCTTGTGCACTTCCCTTCAAGTGTCATTAGGATTAATAAGAATGCCACATTAGAACCATATAACAGATACACAATATCTTTATAGAAATCATATTGATAAAGTCACTAAACTGGTTCATAGTCATGCATCACTGGTTCATAATCATGCATCTAACAGAAGCCATTATCCAGATCATTGCAAATAGCAACAAAGTTTGTCCACTTGGTTTCCGTTCAAACCTGCAGTGACTGTTTCATCTGGGAATACATGCCGAAAAGAAGTGAACTCTCAAAAGCCATTCCCACAAAAGATGATGTTGCCCCCCTGTATAGTCCTTTAATCTGTCAAGGACCCAACATCAGTCAGCTCAACTGGAAAGGATAATGCGAAAGTTCAAATTCTATAACATCAGCACCCTTTCCAAAATAAAAAAAACAACGCTAGATCGTTGTGTTAGAGATAACTAACAAGAGAAAGTTCAGAATCATACCCCTTCAGTCCTTAGTACCCTTGCAGTACAATGCAAACTATTCCTGTACGTAATCCCTTGTGCTGAAGTGTTGTGTTTTTGCATCTTTACCTAATTCAATAAGTATTCCACGCATAAGAAATTCGATTTCAAGACGACCATAGCTGAAGGCACAATTTTACAAATGAAGAGAAATGATTCAATTTTCATCCATTCGAACAGTTCACAAAAGATAATCTTCAAGGTAAACAATATCCTAAAATCACCATCTACAGTGTGACAAGACGATGATTAATCGAAAGATTACAGCTTGGCCATGGAAAATTTAACAAAATATTAAGCTAACAAGAAAACAGGCCAACAGTGTAATATTATCTACCAAAAGGAAAATTAAGCTCTGTAAGTTGCTACTAAAACCAAGTTCAGTATATCATCAAAATTTTGTTTTTTCACTAATATCAAACCAATCCAACATTTTCAGTCAAAATTTGAATTACCCAGATTCCAACAATTAAACTTTGGCATTGTTCATCGATTTTACTTCCTAATTCTATCAAATTACAATTGAAATGAAATTAAAAGCAATGCCCATTAAAGTAAACCTCACCATCTTTAAACCCACTGAAAGTTAACAAAATCAAACAATGTGATTTTACCTTGACGGTGTCAAAGGGATGGCCGATTCCAACGGTGGCCACGCCCGCAATCAAGCCTGCCAAGTACTCCTTGTAACCGGAACTATCCGCCATCTCCCTCTCTCTCTCTCTGCGAATTGCCTTGTGTTATTTCTGGGATTTTATCATGGTGTCCTTGTCCGTACTACTCTTTGACTCTGGAGTTTCCGTGAAACAGCTAAGACCTAAGAGACGAGAGGTGAGTCTCTGGTTCAGTATTCATGACCGCCGCATACAGTCGTGCGCTTGGTTTGGTGAGTGCGATGTGACTTTCAGACCCACTGTTACAAAAGATAACATCTTTACCTATATTTGTTCTTGCCGTTTATCCTCTTGGCGATTCAAAAGTTGCATAAAATGTGCACAAATCAATCTACATAATTAACCGTGTCCTTAGTAATACGTTGAGTGATATTTTTTCATTTATAAATAAAAAAATTTATGTTTAAATTTCGTGAATAACAGACGTGTAACTTACTTATTCCTTCACATGTACATATATTCATCTATTTGAACTTCTTATCATGATTTCAAAAAGAAATTGTAGCAGCGGTCCTTCAACTTTAACTGAAATGGAGCTGTGATTATTTCAACTAAAAAATATGTGATCATTGTTCTTAACTCATCTAAACGTGTAACTATGATCATTTTCGTCAATTTCGTCAAAACTTTCGTTAAAAAGAGTTATGTGTCACGCATGTAAAGCTAAATTAAGAGACAAATATGAAAAATCAAAACAAAAAAATTATAACAATGGTCCCTCAACTTTAACTCAATTAGAGCAATGATCCTTAACTTTAATCTAATTGGAGAAATGGTCACTCAACTTTAACCTAATTGTAGGAATGGTCCTTCCACCATAACTATTTTGATGGAGTTAACAAAAACGACCAAAGCTGCACGGTTTGATGAGTTAAGGAACTAATGGTCACGAATTTTTAGTTGAGAACTAACGCTCTAATTGGTTTAAAGTTAAAAGATCATTGCTACAGTTTTTTCATATTTGAATTTGGAAAGAATATTGAATTTAACATTTCACATTTAAAATTATAAGTAAACTGGTAAAAACATATACTACATTATACTCGCAAATAAATTTAAAAAATTATGAACTTAAAAGTAGCTGGAACTTTAGACATCATCCTTCCTTCCATGAAGCATATTGTTCCATACAGGGGCGGATCTATTAAGGGAACAGGGTGGTCCCGGGACCATCCGAAGCTCGAAAAAATGGCTGTGAGGATCTTCAAGGACCACCCAAGTCTGGGCAGTGATGGAGAAGAACAACAATCATGGGTGCTGCACGCTGTGCATTTCAGGAGGAGGAAGAAGAAAGCCAAATTTTTTTTTCAAAATGACTTGGCCAAAATGACGTCATTTTAAGCCAAGTCATTAAAAAATTTTAAAACCTCACTCACGAGTTACGTGAGAACCCTCACATGATAGAGCAATTAGCTCATTCAGCAATCAGAACCTTCACTTTACCAATAATACCTAATCGTCTGCCACTCGGCCCGCTTCTGTTCCTTACGGCATCTATCAACTATCTACTACACTCTAGTTTCTGTTCACCGTTGCATCGACGGGCGGGGCAACGAGTCGACGACATCTTTAGTGAAAATCTGTAACCCTTCTGCATTTTTTTCTTTGTATAAAGCTCTGGTTTGGAGGCTAGCCGCTGGTCTTCTTCTTGGTCAAAGAGGTTTGTAGTTTGTACTCTCTTTGACTCTGTCCATTAAATAATTTTGCCATCCTGTTGTGATGATAGGGGGATGTTCCAAATACTACACCTGAAACCACTTGCATACAGATGCTCCTACAAACCTAAAGAAAACAACTTCACGGTGTAAATTCCACGGGTAAGTGTCTCCTTTGTCTATATCTTTGCTCAGCGTTATAAGAGTACTGTATTCACCGTCTCTTCACGACTATTAAGGGCACAGAGACTGATCTTGCTCTAATTCCACTCTTAGAACTAGCTCCATTGTAATGACTTAATGCACGGCGCCCTTCTTCTTTCTTCTCCCGATACTTGCCTTTTATTTTTTTTTTTTTTAGATAGCTATTTGTATATTGGGACTCAACCCTAAGTTATAAAATTACCTTTAGTATCCTAGCTCAATCATGGGTTCTCAATTAATCCACAATAAATGAATTTTCATATAACGTGTAATACTCTGAAAATTTTAAATATATAAAATAGTTATTCAAA